GGAGGTAGTCTGGGCTAAGAAGGGCTTGTCTTTCGCATATCTTCCAGCAAGCTTTAATGAAACAATAGAAGTTATGACATACATACAAGGGCATTACTATTCACACAATGTTTTTAATTCTGTAATGTTATCTATTATTTATCTTTAGATATCATCTTAAGTCTGTCTGTTAATAGTTTTGACACTGAATTGTAAGTTTCCTCTTCCACAAAGTTTAATCCAAAACTTTTTCAGCTTCAGGAATTAAACAAAACAGCTCCAGCCTCTAGATCAGGCATGCCCAATCTTATCCGCAAAGGGCCAGTGTGGCTGCAGGTTTTCATCCCAAAAGAGCAGAAGCACACATACGTGTTCAAGGACTGAGAATGACTAATTAAATGAGTGAAATCAGGTGTGCTCTTCTCGTTTGGAATGAAAACCTGCATCCACACTGGCCCTTTGCGGATAAGATTGGACACCCCTGCTCTAGAGTATCAAGTATAAAGAGATAAAGTGTATCTCAATTCAATTTCCTTGGCAAAACCTTGTCACATCTCTAAGCATAATTACTCTGACTATTTTACTGCCACCAGCATTCTTACTGGAGGTTTGTTCTGAGCAGTTTTGCTGGAGGTTTTCCTTCACTTGACAGTGGACGGAATGCCAATTCCTGTTCTTGCAATCCCAGTCTGAATGGCACAGGAGGCATAGGTTTAACCTCTTGAATTCTAAGGGCCTGTATAAAGCCCACACTTCAGTTCCTCACTCTCAGAACCTTTCCAAGGTTACTTATGTAACATACACATTAGTTACATAGTTTACATAATTACATAATTTTCTCCGCAAAAAACATTATGATAACCATTGTATTGTCTTGGTTTAATGTCGCTTCAATGTATTATGGTTGTTTCCTTCATAACACCTTAAATAGTCCAGCAGTATTTATGCCTGAAGCGCCAGAATGTAACTGCTGCACCATTTAAGGTGGAATGGGAAAATTTGAACAAGAAGCTGGCGAATAGCTGACTTCAGCTTCATATCACCAAAGAATTAGAGGTGGACGATAATAAATAATTGCCTTATACCCCCTCTTTGAAAGCATATGATGCACTAAATGTAACGCTAAAACCCAGCAGCGAGGTTGCTGAACTTTTCCCTTCTCTGCTATCACTGAAGATGGGCCAGGTCACCTGCAGAGTACTGCTAGTAGCTTGTTAATGAAGCAGTGCTTTTTTTTTTTATTTGAGTGTTAGGTTGTCCCATTTCGTAGGGGAAGATTTCAACCACTACCCCTTGTAACTCAGTTCCAATGGTTTAGGGTGACACTCGAAAACAAGGGGTAGGGGTACAAAGAAGAAATGGGATTGGGCCTATGTCTGAGCTTTGCCAGTTTGACCTAGGTTTGAGCAGCAGCTCTTCATTTTTGAATAAGCTCCTTTGGGTTTTGTGTTTCAGTGGTTGATTTTGATCCTCTTCATTCATCCCTTTGCAACAGTTCTCTGACTCAGATTCAGACCAGTTCTCACCAGATTAGAGAGATAACCTCTATCATCCATGCTATTTGTCTGCCTGCACTAGATCCACTTTTTTATCCCTATATATGGACATTTTGCAAACATTTCATTTCATTACTGAAAACTATTTACTAGTACACAACTTTTGCTTTGATTCTTTCATGGCAATCAGTGACTTGACCAGACAGAAGATGAATTGGTATGAAATGACCCTGGAGCTAAAATGTGAAAATACACCATCACTATGTAATGACACATGCTGCCAGTTGAGCATATTCAGATGAACGAACCTGAAACAAATTCAAGAATAACTGAAGTTCTGCACACAATCACTGCATCAAACAAACCAGATCAGTCATCTTCTATTTTTGATTTCTACCATTGGAATCTCTTTACCACAGTCCAACATGAAGACTCTGAGAGCCGTATTAAAGCGAAAAATAAACAAATAAAATTCAATGGCTGCAAGAAAATAATTGATTAATAATTAGTTAATTAATAATTCTCTCTCTTATATTATCTATCTTTTAGTTTCTCTCTTTCCCATTATCTCTCTTTCACTCTTTGTCTCTCGCTCTCTGATTCTTTTTCGCTCATCTCTCTCATCCGTCCTCTTATACACTCTTATTCTCGCTCTCTTTTTCTCATTGTCACACTTTCTCTCTCCATTTTCTCTCTCTTTAATTATTTCTCTCAATCAATCTCTCTCTCTCTATCTCTCTCTCTCTCTCTCTCTCTCTCTCTCTCTCTCTCTTTCTCTCTCTCTCTCTCAAGTCTCATCGCCCTTTCCTCTTTGTGCGCGCACTCACATTCACCTTGGCTCGACGTCAGTAGCGGTGCAGCAGTGCAGCAGTAACTGGCTCCACGTTTGTACTCAGCTCGCGGTTCTCTCAGCATCTTCTGTCACCGACGGTTCGTCCTCTCGCGCCCCCTCCTCCTGTTTTGCAGCACGCGTTCCCGGATCTCCTCCGTCAGCGATGGAGGGCTCGTGCAGCCCCTGAGCGGGAGAAGGACTCCTTGGCGCAGTAAAAACGCTGAAGACACGAACAGAAGCGAGGAGAGGACGAGTGCTGATGTTTTCGGTGTGGAAAAGAAGTTGACCATGCCGTGGATGCTTTCTCTTCATCCCTGACGAGCGCTAGTGGAGAAATCGCCGTCACACACGCTCGTTTCAGGGAAGCGAGCAAGATGAGCAGCAGTCCTCCCTGGTTAACGGCACCGATGCCGGGCATCTTGCCGTGGCTGCTGTTGCTGCCTTTCACGCTTCTCCTAGGCTGTTCTCTCGGGATGCCTCACGTTCTAAGATTCGGTAGGAAATACAAGTTCTTCTTGCTTTTGCAATGGAAGCATTTGCGTTTGGGTGTCTTCGGTGTACGTCCTTTAGTAAGTTTTCGATCAAGAACCTAAAGGCTGAAAAGAACCTTGAAGAACCTAAAGAACATGACATGGCTTTTCAGAGAACGCATTCAAATACACATACAAATAGGTGGCAGCATCTAACTAAGCAACATCGCGAAAAATGTAGGTTCCTTACTTTGGCCGTGTGCGAATGTATATGTGTGTGTCGGGGGTTGGGGGCAAGATTGGATTATATGGTTGCCTCAAGGGGTCATTAACAGTTTATTGTATTTAAAAGATGTTTTATTGCCGCGAGGAAAGCTATTGTGGTTCGTATTAGAATATAAAACCCATGAGATCAGCAGGAGGCCCTACATGATCGAAGATCTGTCAAAAACTAACGTTAAGATAAATTACTTCACCCCAGAGGCTTGTGACACAGATCTAACAAGCCTTGAACGATTGCAATTCTTTCTCTCTCTCTCAAGTGATCCAACCGTATGCTTATTAGCTCTGTTTCTGAGTGAGATCTACAAACTGAGAACATAGTGTATGCCTAATGTTTCCCGTCTTGATGTGGATTTTAAATAGAAGCTCCAGCCGCCAACCAAAGAAATACTGTTATGCAAACCTACAACCCACTAGCATGAGTTAATCCACTGCCCTGGTAATTAGAACGTGGCAGTTCAGTCAGTGTAAGATGGTTAGTGACCGCTGTCAACACAAAATTGGCCATATGAGGGACCTGAATGCCCTGTTTGGGAGTCAGAGCGCGTGTGCATGTTGCCACTGTGGAAGTGGGGGGATGCATTCATACAGTCGATCGCCCTTGCTTCCATGCTACACCAGTTTCTTTTCATGTGCACTCGGGAAACGACCAGACAACTCGTGTACTACAAATCAGGCGGGATGCGATGATTCACGAGAGGTATTCCCCACTGGCTATAGAGCTAAAACGTCCTTATGTCGTCTTCCGTTCGTTCTACGTTTGTTTTGTCTGCAAGCAGAGGCCGTCCGTTTCAGCACCACGGACAACGGCTCAGTTTAGGCGACGCAATAGGGAGGGCCTAGGCTCTTCAAAATAAACATTCCTAAATAGCTCCTTGGCTTAGACGTACGATTCTACTGAAAACCTTTAACTGGTATTAAACCTTTACAATATGTGGTGGTTCTTTAAACTTTAGAAAGGGTCTTCACACTCGCACATCTCATTGCGAATTTCCCCCTTGTGGGACTAACAAAGGATTATCTTATTTACTTAATTGCTTTTTTTTTAAAGGACAGTCCATGGAAAGGTCTTTCAGGGAAACAAAAGGGGTCCTTATATACCCTTAGAAAAGAATTTCTTAATGAGCTCCTTAGTAAAGACAATGCTTATATACAGAACGTGGATAACTCAATAAATGATTGAAATCCTTAATCCTTGCATGATTAAATGGCTTCTCTCTATAAAGCTGCTTAATGTGATTCTTTTAACCACCTTTAAAAGGGTTGTGGTATAGTTACAAGTCACAGAATGCTTTTTGATAAGAGTCTATGGCGTCACTCCAGACAACTCTTTTTGGCATGATTATAGTGGGAATTACACACGTGGACAAAATTGTTGGTACCCTTCCGTTAAAGAAAGAAAAACCTACAATGGTCACTAAAATAACTTGAAACTCATGAAAGTAATAATGAATAAAAATTTACTGAAAATCAACTAATGAAAATCAGACATTGCTTTTGAATTGTGCTTCAATAGAATAATTTAAAAATAACTGGCATGGACAAAAATGAAAAGATTGAAAATAATTTGACTATAGGGACATGTTAAACTAAGTTGTGTCCTGTAATTAGCATCACAGGTGTCTTCAAACTTGTAATCAGTCAGTCTGCCTATTTAAAGGGTGAAAAGTAGTTACTGTGCTGTTTGGTATCATGGTGTGTACCGCACTGAACGTGGACCACAGAAAGCTAAGGAGAGAGTTGTCTCAGGAGATTAGAAAGAAAATTATAGACAAACATGTTAAAGGTAAAGGCTATAAGACTCTCCAAGCAGCTTGATGTTCCTATTACTACAGTTGCAAATATTATTCAGAAGTTTAGGTCTATGGGACTGTAGCCAACCTCCCTGGACGTGGCCGCAAGAGGAAAACTGATGACAAATTGAAGAGACGGATAATACGAATGGTAACCAAAGAGCCCAGAACAACTTCCAAAGAGATTAGAGGTGAACTCCAAGGTCAAGGTACATCAGTGTCAGATCGCACCATCCATTGCCGTTTTAACCAAAGTGAACTTAATGGAAGACGACCGAGAAGGAAACCACTGTTAAAAGCAAATCATAAAAAAGCGAGACTGGAATTTGCCAAAATGCATATTGAGAAGCCAAAAAGCTTCTGGGAGAATGTCCTTTGGACAGATGAGACAAAACTGGAGCTTTTTGGCAAGTCACATCAGCTCTATGTCCACAGACGCAAAAATGAAGCATACAAAGAAAAGAACATTGTACCTACTGTGAAACATGGAGGAGGCTCAGTTATGTTTTGGGGCTGCTTTGCTGCATCTGGCACAGGGTGTTTTGAATCTGTCCAGGGTACAATGAAATCTCAAGACTGTCAAGGCATTCTGGAGCAAAACGTGCTGCCCAGTGTCAGAAAGCTTGGTTTCAGTCTCAGGTCATGGGTCCTCCAACAGGATAATGACCCAAAACACATAGTTAAAACATCTAAGAATGGCTAAGAGCAAAGCATTGGACTGTTCTGAAGTGGCCTTCTGTGAGCTCTGATCTAAATCCTATTGAACATCTGTGGAAGGAGCTGAAACATGCAGTCTGGAGAAGGCACCCTTCAAACTTGAGACAGCTAGAGCAGTTTGCTCATGAGGAATGGGCCAAAATACCTGTGGACAGGTGCAGAAGTCTAATTGAGAGTTACAGAAATCACTTGATTGCATTGATCGCCTCAAAAGGTTGTGCAACAAAATATTAAGATAAGGGTACCATGATTTTTGTCCAGGCCATTTCATTAGTCCATCCATCCATCATCTAAACCGCTTATCCTTCTGGGTCGCGGTGGGGTGCTGGAGCCTATCCCAGCTGTCATTGGGCGGAAGGCAGGATACACCCTGGATGGGTCGCCAGTCCATCGCAGGGCAGACAGACAGACATACACACTCACACCTAGGGGCAATTTAGCCTGACTGCATGTCTTTGGACTGTGGGAGGAAACCCACGCAGACACGGGGAGAACATACAAACTCCACACAGAAATGACCCTGGTCACCCGGCCAGGAATCGAACCCAGGCCCTTCTTGCTGTGAGGTGACAGCGCTACCCACTGCGCCACCGTGCCGCCCCCGTTTCAAAAGCAATGTACATTTTTATTCATTATTACTTTTATGAGTTTCAAGTTATTTCAGTGACCATTGTGGGTTTTTCTTTCTTTAACGGAAGGGTACCAACAGTTTTGTCCACCTGTGTATAAGTTATCTTAACCACAGTCTTAGTTGCCTCTTGTACTTTACAGTTTTGCTTTGTTCTGCTCTAAAACAAATGATTTAACTCAAGAAAGATGTCAATACATGACAATAATTTGATTGTATGACACATGGTGGTAAAACAAACTGTGCTTTGCAGTCAGACCACAGGATTATAGTTGGGGAACACTATCTATAGAGCTTCTCTCCAGGTTAACTGGAGTTGAAATGCATTGCAGTTTCACATATTTCTTGCTTTATCACAACTTACTCAACTCATCAGCTAATTAGCAAGTGTTGAAGGCACTGATTCAAACGTGTGTGCAGGGAAGATTAAAAAGGATATTTTACAAAAATTACGTAAGCACTAACTTGTGCGAAAACTAGTGCAGTTCTGAAACGAAGGTCACCTCACAATAGCGGTACAATAAAAAATTAAATAATACTACACAGAAATTCTCCATTAAAAGGAAGATATAGACCATGGCTAGCCTTAATCACTGCCTGGGAAACTGACTCGATAATATCTGGTGGCCATTTCAGCTAATCTGAATAATGGGACCAAGCTTGATTGTTTTCGTTTCGTGTCTCTATACACCCGTTCAAACTGTATGCTGCACAGCATTGCTACACAGAGAAATGTTTGTTCTTGTGTCAGCGAGCTGAGAGGAGAGCTAAGCATCACTATGTCACTGTAAAGAAACAACTGAAAGTTTTTGCTTTCACTTGCATTTATTCACTTGTACAGAAGAGACTTTTCCTTGTAGAAATTCTTCCCTGTGTGGTTTGTTCTTCAGATTATTTCCCTGTTTGCAAAGACTGTGTAACTCCCAGCCTTTCCAGAATGCCCTGATGAGGAGCTAAATGTTTTGATGTGTCTTAAAGCTAAGGATGAAGCTGTGACAGGCTGTATTTCCTGGCCGTTACATCACAGAAGGACCCTACGAATCCTGTCCTAGCTGATGTAAACTTCAATCATCCACAATCCTTCATGCACAATGTTAAACCACTTGAAAGATTGTGAAAGTTTAAAAAGTTTTTGTAAATTTAGAAATGTGGCCTACTGTGTGGCACAACCATCCAAGCATTGGCTGTATTGCCAAGAGACTGTAAGTTTGAACACTAACAATACCACAGCCATCTGTGGCCAGGAGTCCAAGAGAAATTGCTTGGCCTCTCTCTGGTTGGTTAGAATGGCCCTCCATCTCCCTCCATTACTGAATGTAATGCTAGCCACCGTGGGTGTCTGTTAGCTGACATAACAGTGTTCGAAGTTAGCAAAGTTCTTTGAGCTGTCCGGTAGTCCAAAAAGATGCGGTGGCACTTTATGCGTCTCAGAGAATGCACATGCTAGCTTTCACCCTGTTAGCTTGGTAGCACTGTGTGATGGGTATAGACTAACTAGCAGGAGGAATTGAATATGACTAATAATAAATTAAATGTGTCACATTGCTTACATCAGTAAGCCATAATCTCTCTTTATAATGCAAGAGCAAGCCTTTGAATGCTGAATTTGGATTGGAATTGCTAACAAAATCTCAACTTTGAATGCAACCTTGACTTCGAAATACAACTAGTATGACAGCAGAAGGACCATGAAACTCATAGTGGGAATATTAAGTCCCAGAACAAAATGTCAAAGCCACACAAACTACTGTGGTGTCTGGACCAGCTTAAGCACCTTATTAAGTTTCTCTGTGTAGTTAGCATGCTAACCCTTATGTGGTTTTCCCTCATTTTAGAGATGTAATGTAAATAATTACTTTCTAAACAGTTTACCTTCCCACCTGACTGCTCTGCATCATTTAAAAATCCCAAAATGGCAATTGGGAAACGTAAGCGAAAAAAGATATAATATCAACAAAGAGAGGAGCTAATTAAATATTCTATGAATCACATCATAAAATAGCTATTTATTAATAAAGTAGCACTTTAAAAAATATTCCAAATTTCTTTGGTCGTGGTTCTGCCTAATATTCTAGAATTATAGTGAGGTATAGACTCTGTACCTCAAGTGGTCTTGACTGCAACACTACTGGTTAATGTTTGGCATCAAAGAGGACTCAACTTTTTGGGTCTTGGTCTTGACTTGGTTTCACCCTCCTTTAGACTCAGTCTTACCCCAGGATAGATGGGACTGAAACATCATATCCCAAATCTACATTTGTGTTCCATAAGCACTACGCTCAATAACAATAACAACACTCCATGGCTGTGGCTATTAGCAGGTTTTGTTAAATTATTAGGAATGGGTGGACCTGAACAGGATTGCTATAAGGAAGCTCTGTATTTAGCAAATTAACTTCAGAAGAGTTATTACTGTCAGACTTGTAAAAACCAAGCACAATACACATTCATACTGGATTACTGGAAGGAAATCACATGGGACTGTAGTATTTTAAAGGAAAGCTAGGTAGAATTACTGATGTATTTCTTATCTCCTGTTAAAATGGGCTTGCTCCCAGAATCTCTGCCAAGCCACCTAAACTGTTTCTAAAGTAATAGAATAAAGTCTGGCTAGCTTAGACTCTCATTCTTCAGATTATATAGCTGCCATGCACATGCATGAGGAGTGGTGCGCCACACCTTGTTGATCTGAATTGTGGTCACATTTCAGGAAGTTGTCATACACCGTTAGAAAAGTATGAGGAGAATTACATGGAAAGAATTACAGTGCCCTGTTTTAATATTTGTTTGTATTATCAGAATCCTACAGTAAAACAATTTTAATGACATCCTTAATGGCTAATGATGTAGCTTAGTAAATATCTGAAACATCTAGCATAACAGTAGCAGTGCTGTACATTTTCCTGAATTGGCTTTCCTTAAATGATTCCCTTTCAGGCTCATGTAGTGGTGAAGCTCAACCAACACATTTGTTTTACATTTCTTGAACTTGTAAACTTTGCTTTGATTAGAACAAGAAGGAACTTGTGGAGAATTACATGGTGCTTGTAAGGTTGGTGCAGGTATTCTTTCATTATCTGAATACTGCTGGCTTTGCTCTGGCTGCTCTGTGTGCTTTCTTAGGCTTCCCAGCGGGGTGTTCCTGAGATGAGCTGTTGCTGAGTGTGAAGAGTTCCAAAATGCCTTAGTGGCAAATCAGGATAGCCAGGAGTTTTCCCGGTGGGCCAGTTAGGTTTCAACTGACTGTACTGATTCTCTATAAACATGCATTTGTAAAAGCAACTTCAGCAGCGTGCTTTAAGTGTTTTATCTTTTCTTTTTGCAAACACACATGCATAACCAACAGTGTTAAAAAACATCCTATAAAAAACAGTAAAAGGTAGCTAAAGTTTAACAAGTATAAAATATCAGAAGACTTTCTTAGGGGTTAAATGCAAACACTGTTATCCCAAAGGTTGATTAATATCTTGGAGGTTTTGTGTATTACTTCAAAGTATAACCTTGTTACGTCTGCCGTTCATCCAGTGAAAGGCGGTAACTCCGGGATCTTCCTTACTCAGAATGCTGGAAAAAATGTCTCCTAGAGATTAACTCCTTAAAATCCCAGGCTTATTACATAGTAAGGCTTATTACTGAGTAACTACAGGGACTTCAATGCAAACTGTTTGAACTATTTTTAGGTTATAGAAATGTGTAATAAAACTTTGGGCCCATCGGGGGTTTTAAGGGGTCAAATGCTAACACTGTTATCCCATGAACTGACTGATACATTACATATTTAAACTTAAAGTCATGGGCTGAAGGTTAGGGAACCAGCCTTGTGACCGGAAGGGTGCCTGTTCGATCCCCAGGGCTGACAGGACG